GGTTCCTCCTCAGCACCCGGTGTTGCTCCGCTCTCCTGTACCCCACGTGCAAACGTAGAACATGAACTGTGACTGTTAGAGCTGAAGGGCTGGAGTTGTTAATAAGAATTGCATAAAGTGTCCTGCCCACCACGTAACTGCTTTGCTGTTGCTGGATGTTTCAGGAGCAGGTTCTAGGTGCCGGTAGAGAAGACACAGGCTGTGTTTGAATGTATTAGATACATCTTGCCGGTCCCAGAGCTCAGTGGGGTATTTGAGCCTGAGTTAAAGAAGAAAAGCGGAAGGGTTGAGAGGATATATGCCAGCATTTAGAGGGTTTCTTTCTGTCAGTTTGTGGGGGCGAAGCAGTAGGAGAGGAGATCGGCACCGTGTTGCGGTGGGTGACAGCTTTGCCGTGCCATCTGGGATGTTGCGAGAAGGTGTGTGGCAGGTGTGAAAGCTCCCGGGGCGCAGGCTCTGCCCGTCCCCAGGAGGCACTGTGGAACCACTGCAGACGGCTGTGCCGGGAGCACGCTGTCGGATGGGAACGCAGGCAGTGCGCTGGCGGAGGTTGGGTCTGCTCTCCGCAGGGAGGGATCTGCAAGCTCCAGGAGAAGCACCATGCTGGAGCAGTCGGTGCTGCAGCTGTCACCTGAGAGGGACGGCCTCCGGTGATCTCCACTGGGATACTGCAAAAGCAGAACCTGGCGGCTTGGGGAGAGGGAGCAGTGTCCAGCCAGGCACGGGCCTGGCTCTACACTGCCATACATTCAGATCTCTGCAGCATTGGGCCGGTAATCCACTCATTCTCTCACCAGCTCAAAATACCAGTTGTCTGACCTCGTAATCTCTGTGGACGTTGGCTGAAGGGATGAGCTCCCCAGGGAAGCCCCAGCTCCTTACGTTTCAGCCCCTCCCTAGCACCTGGCTGGATTTCAGCGCTTTGTAAAAGGGGTCAGCATCTGATCCCCAGCTCAGAGAGGAAAACCGTGGCACAGAGAGGAGAGAGGAGGTTCATGAGAGAGTGAGAGGGCAGGGACGCTGCGTGTCCCGAGGCACAGCTGGGGTTCTCCCCCCTCGCCCAGGTAGGGCAGGGTGGAGGTTCTCCCTTGGGGGATGATTGCAGGTTCTGTGTAGTTTTACTGTGCGTATCTGAGCTGCTGTCGGAGATCATAACTTGCAGTGTTTGAGACTGACCTGTGAATGCCGCTGGTTGGCTGCAGAGGAGGAGGAAATATTTTCTTCTGCTTTTGTGTTTTAAAATGCTCTGGCAGAGAGTTCCCTGTCCTGACATGATGCTGGATGAACAGGGAGCCTCCATCACTGTTAACTGGCCAAAAATTGCTTTGTCCCTTTTGTTCCCATCCTTCAGACCTTTCTCATTCCCACGCTCTCAAATGCCAGGTCTTGAAGTCTTGCACTGGAGTTTCTCTTTTTGGCTGTTACCCGAGGAGGGCTCTGAACTCCTGCCTGCGGCACTGCTGTCTGACAGGCTGCTCAGCGGCTTCCCCTGCTCCCAGCCCCATATAAGGGCACCGAGAGCTGTCTCTGGAGCCTCTTCGTGCGGCGCAGACATCCCAGCTGAGTGCCTGGCCTCCGGTGGGAAAAACAACCGTGCATCAACAGGGCTGAATTTGGGTCGAGGTTACTTTTCCTCCAGCCTGAGCAGGAAGCTGAGCACCTGAGGCCAGCTTATCGGGCCACATGCCTCCTCTTCGCTGTGTTTCTTCCCCCAGCTGCACTGCTGCCTGCCGCCCCACTCTTCTCTGTCACCTTTTGTCTTTCACAGCTTGGGTCTTTGCCAGTCAAGGACTTGGCTTGTACTGTTGCTTAACACATCCAGCAGAACATACTGCCTTAGTGCTGCCGTGCCTTTCCAGGCACTGAGCTGAGTTCTGCGAATGCTTGGTGGCGACGGCTCGCCCGGTGTCCTTCCCAGGCCACCAGCAAGAGGTCTTCTGCTCTGCAGAGAGAGGCAAGCATTAGAAACGCTTCTGTGTCACTGAGCCTCCTGCCAGGGAAGTGAGCACCCCATAGCTCTGTGCCCGGGGACTTGCCCGTCATCAGTCCAGTCTCTGTCAGCTCTCCTGCATGTCTCTAACAGACCACAGGGCTCCTGAGCTACTGGGCAGTGCTGGAGCTTGGTCCTCTGTCCTCCTGATGTCTCCTCTTCCCCCTCGCAGGTGATTTGGGAACTTGGCCAAGGATTGCAGCTTGTTATTCACAGGGGGGCTTTACAGCCCCTGGTGTCAATGTCGGCAACTGCTGCCTGTCGGCTGTTCCCAGGGAATCCGGTGCTGGCAGGCAGGGGGCCTGCAACCTGTTGGTGGTTGGCTCTGCCATCCTTCATCTCGTGGTCGGGTGCAGGAGCTCCTGGCGTCTGGGGCCTTCGACACTGGTGTGCAGGAGGCTGCAGGAGGGACTGCGCTGTGGACGCTGCTGTCTGGTGTTTAGGGAAGATGAAGGGTTTGAACAAGCCAGACCTGCCTAAGACCTGATCTAACCAGAGATCTCCCTCCAGAGGTCCCTTCCACCCTGTGTTACTCTGTGACAGCAGAGTGACACTTGCCTTCCAGGGACCTGCACAGCAGTAACTGGCAGGGCACATAGATCTTACTCAATGATCTTAGAGGTCTCTTCCAACCTTAATGATTCTGTGAAATGCTTTGCCTGGAGTGCTGTGGTCTCTGCTGAGCGTGCTGTATGCAGGTTGTTCAGACCTGTTTCTGTATTAGTCACTTTGAATTCATCCAAGTGCCTAACCTGGCCTATGCTGTTCCTGGGCACCATGACAGCCGAGAGCTTTAGGAAGCATTCTCTTAGGAATGCTTTTACCGCGTGGGTTTGTGCCACTGACACTTTGAGAAATGATTCAGCCAGCGGTCAAAGGGCTGTTCTTCCGACTGAGTTTGTGGAAATAATTTCTCCTTTTATTCAGCTGCCAAGAAGCAAAAGTTTATGCTTTGCCTCCACCAGACAAGGTCCTTGAGCTTCCTGCATGCTTCAGATGTCCGTCAGTGAGGTCCGTGGGGAGAGCAGCTTGTCCGGCAGGCAGCTGAAGGGGAAGCTGACATCGGATACCAGTTGAAATCACATTGTTAATTGGTAGAAATGTTTTGAAGCTCATGTCCACTGTGATCAGATTTCACCTTCTGCCGCTACTTTCAGTTGGGGAAGTTTCCCCTTGGCCTCTTCCCTGCAAGCCATGTAGCGTGGTGCTGCTGCTTCCAAACTGCGTCCCCCCCAGAGCCAGCTGCCGCAGCGATCCTTGTACAGAATTTCTTAAGCACTTTTCTGCAAAATAAGAAGGGATTATTTTGTTATTCCTGTTTTGTAGCCCACTATTTCAGTGTGAGGAGGAGGTGTGCTCTGTGGAGTGTTGTGAGCACTCGTGTAGCTGAATACTTCTCAGACCAGGGCATCACCCGCCCAGCCTGCAGCACTCACGCTCACAGGGCCTGGGGGGCGGTAGGCTGAGACCCCTCGTTGCCTGGTGTTCCCTTGCACAGAATTCAGCCAGTCGCCAGCTAAAAGCATCGCAGGGAAGTCGGGAGCAGAACAGCACAGGTGGGTGATGCTGCGCACCTGGCTCCATGGCCCTGCTCCGTAGCTGCCCCTGTTCTGCCGCGTGTCCTCCGGGTCCCCCTCGCACACCAGCAGCACTTCTCCACCGGTGGAGCTGGTGGAAGTCCCCCGGCTCCAGCTGTGGCAGGAGGGGCTGGGGGGCTTTGGGTTTTGGGCTTGAGCACAGAATTTGGGCCCTTTCACTTGTGACTTTTGCTGTGTTCACGGCCAGACCTTGCCAGCGTGTTGGGGGGTGCAGCCACTCCAGCTGCTCTCCTCCTTGGTTTCAAGTTCCCTGCCCTGGCTGGGAGCTGGGCCTTTGGCCACAGCACAAGGGACGCGTGGGGACGGAGAGCAGGTTTGTCTCTCAGCTGCAGCTGGACAGTGTGACGCGAGCTGGGCAGCTTCCTGGGCAGGAGGGCAGGTTTAGGTGGGAGGATCCTTGTTTCGGCCGTGGTTGGCAGGGTTGGTGCCGAGCTGTGCTGAGCACCTGCTGCTCAAGCAGGTTGGTTGGTTTGTGTGGAAGTGAGTTTCTGTTTCAGTCTTCAAAATGGCACTGGCCCGTTTGCTCCTGTTGTCAGATGGGGATGGCTTTCTGGGAGCTGAGGTGGCCTGAGGAGAGGACAGCTGTTCTGGGGCACCTCGCACCTTCTCGATGGTGCTGCAGTCCTTGGCTTTGTGAGCTGGGTGGGCTGGCACCATCCGTGGAGAGGGACAGCAGGGCAGGTTGCTCCCAGGCCCTTGTGTTCGGGGCTCTGTGCTAGAGAGCACCATGCTCGGGTTTCCTTCTTGCAGCCTGCTCCTACCTGGAGCTGTGTGCCATTAGGAAGGTGCCAGGTGCCTGCTGGCTGGTGGAGCAGAGACCTTGTCCCAGAAGGCAGGAGAGCCAGCCCTGAGTGTCAAGTGAACCCTGTCTGTGGATGTGACTGTGCTAGCACTCACAGCTTGGCCAGCTGCTGCCTCCAAAGCCATGGTGCTGAGGCCAGACCCCTCAGTTTGCTTAGGAAGACCGAGGAGGTCTGGTCAAAAAGCAAGAAGCTGGGATTAGGGGAAACCAAAGACGCCAGCAGAGCCTGGCTGGCCAGCTTCTGCTTCTGCTGCAGGAGGAAATCTGCAAACAGAGGAGCCAAGTCTGTGGCGTACCGGTAGCACTTCTTCCACTCTGTCCCTGCCCGGCTGACGGAGCCTGTCCTGCCCTGTCTGGCAGCACTACACAGGTACTGGTGCTGCAGGCTCTGGGGCACGGGCGAGGGGGTGCCCTTTTGGAGCAGGTGCCTCTCCTAACCCTTGGTTTCCATCCTTCATCGGTTGCACAAACTGGCCCTGCTCGGGTGGCCGCCGGAAGGTAAGCTGCTTCCTGGCTTGCAGAGCCCCCCCTCTGGTGTGTGCTGACTTGTACCCTCTG